TATATATATATATATAAATTGTGATCTGCTACAGCAGTAGAAATTGCTAAGTAGCCCTAGTATTTACTTTTTGTTTATTACTTAGTAACAGTTTGTGAATTTTGTCTGGCCAGCAATGAACTACATACATCTCCCAGACTTCCTTCTTCCTGATTGATGCCATGCGGCTAAATTCAGGTCAATGGGCTCTAAGTGGAAGTGGTATATGAAACTTCCAGTAACTGTCCTTAAAAACGAAGGGACTGCTCTTGGTTGCGTTCTCCCATCTTACCAGATGGAGCTGCTATTTTGGACTATGGTATGGAAGCTTCACGCTCAGAATGGCAGATCAGCAGAATAGGAACCTGGGCTCCCTCACACTGTGAAACCACTCACCAGGCCTAGGCTGGCTACAAAGCTTTCAAATGAGAGAAGTAACATTTTACCTAAATGACCATCTTTATTTTGGACTTTTAGTCATTCAGACCTGAATTTAATTCTTAATGGTATAACTATGAAGGAAAAATTAAAGGTTCAATGAAAGACTATGACAGAAACAGTAGATTTTTGACTGAACAAAGCGGTTTCAAGAATGGCCCCTTGGATGTAACAAACTTAAACTACTGCGAGGTGAAACCTACCAAGTGAAGGGAGGTAGGGTGACAAACTGTTTACAGGAATAGCCAAAGATACAATTTTGACGGCATTTACTTTAGGATGTTAAGATTGCCTCTTGGGCTGGGGTACAGCTCACTGGCAGAGCATTTGCATAGTATGTACAAGGCCCTGGGTTCTACCCCTAGAGTGCCATAAAACTGAAAGAAGGGCAAGGGAGGGAAGGGAGGGGAGACAGGCAAAAAGAAAAATGCTCTAAGGAGCTAGAATTAAAGCAGAGCACTAATGCAACTAAGTGTTTTGGCTCCAATATCAGAATATCACTATTCTGACAGGAAAAGGATCACATATGCCTATCAAAAATAAGAGATGGGGAAGTACAGAATTTTTTTAAAATGTTAAGGAAATGAATAGCTGATTCCATACTTTAAATTTACCACTATTTAACATAGTTTAAGGGCTAGGGATTTGGCTCAGTGGTTCCACCGCCTGCCTTGCAAGCACAAGGTCCTGAGTTCGATCCCCAGTATCAAAAAACAAAAAAAAAAGTGTAAATACTGAATAGTTTCCCTGGTGTAAATAATGTGCAACAATGCATAAGATTCTAATAAGATTACTGACATTTAGAAATGGGTACAAAGGAGCTAAAGGTGTAGGGAAGGTGGGATGGGTAGGGGAAGAGTAAAAAGGGAAAAGAAAAAAATGTAAAGAATGAAAAGATGAAAATAAAGTGTTTGTAGATGGGGAGGGGAGGAGAGGTGAAGGGAGGGCAGAGGTAAGGGGAAAAAATGAGAATCAAGACCTGTCATGTAGAGGTACAAGATCCCAACAATGAATGTAACTGTACTGTATCCCTAAAATGTACCAATAAACTCAATTAAAGCTGAAAAAAAAATAGTTTAATTCGTTGAGTAGAGTGGTTCGTGTAGGGCTAGGGATATGGCTCGGTGGTTCCTCTGCCTGCCTCACAAGTGCAAGGGCCCAAGTTCAATCCCCAGTACTAAGAACAAAAAAGAATGGTTCATGTAGCATGAGGGTATCTCATAAGACTTTTAAATGTCAACTAGCCTAGGTTGGTGTTAAATTTTTTTTTAAAAACACAATGTTTCATGTTTATTTTCTGATTCTAAAAGCAGAACATACTTTGAAGAGTTTAGAAAATATACATAAGAGGGGGCTGGGGATTTGGCTCAGTGGTTCCATAGCCTGCTTCATAAGCACAAGGACCCGAGTTCAATCCCCGGTACCAAAAAAAAAAAAAAAAAGAAAGAAAAAAAGAAAATATACATAAGAGGGCAGGGGATTTAGCTCAGTGGCACTACACCTGCCTTGCAAGCACAAGGTCCTGAGTTTGATCCCCAGTAGCAAGAAAAGAAAAGAAAATATATGTAAGCATATTCAAGGGGGGGAAACCTATAAAATCACCAACATTTTATACTAACAGTTTTTATACATATTTACATGTTCACATATACATAGAACAAACAAAAATGGGACTACAATGCATAAAATACAACTGCATGTGCCTTTTTACTCATTTTTATCAGGAGCACATTCCTGTCATTACCTATTGTTCTAAACCATGATTTTAATGGCTACATAACACACAATTTAGCCAATCACGGCTGAGAATTTTCTGAAAACTGTCAACCACAAACTGAAATCCTCTAGGCCAGCCTCTACTGACTTCAAAATCCACCTGAGAGCTTAAATTTCAGAAATTTCAAGTTATAGTGGGACATGATGATGCACACCTGTAATCCCAGCATTCGGAGGGTTGAGGAGGAAGATGGCTGGGAGTTGGAGGTCAGACTGGGCTGCAAAGTGAGCTCAGAACCAGCCTGACCTACAAAGGGAGACCCTGCCTTAAAAAAAAAAAAGAAAAAAGAAAGAAATCTCAAGTTAACAGTCTGAAAGCACTAGAATCCTCCAACCAAGAGTTTAGTGAAATTCACTGGGCTTTAGCCATGAAGGATGCTCACAAATGACTATATTTTACCAAATAGAGTGCATCATTATATAATTAGTCTTAGGAAGAAACTGAGTGCAAATCAGAGATTAAGGTGGTAATAATGAATAAGAACGAATAATTGCCAACTGTAAGATATAGTGGCTATTTTAATGTTTTATTTTTTAAAAAACCAAGACAAATAAATACATAGACCTATCACTTATATAATTAAGCTTTTAAATGGATAGAAAAAAATGCACATAGAAAAAGGGAAGCAAATATGACAAAGGGTTAATAATTTTTAATTCTAGAATATGACATTATGTCTCGTACTTTTCTACATTTAAAATCTTTCTCACAACAAAAATTAATGTTAAATTAAAGGATTAGTCATGTAAGATAATTCATATTTTAGTTATTAAAGTGGAAGTGAAATCAGTAGGTTTTGCCAAAGGCTAAGTGGATCTTTTTGAAAAGTAGAAACAAAAAGCTGGGTATGAAACATTAGGAATTTGTTCTAAAATAAAACTACTTAAAACTGTAGATTAATTAGCAACAGTAATGTTTCATGTTGGAAATAAGCCTGAGGAATGATCACCTTTTAAACTTTATAGCTATGCTTCTCTCAAATACTATTCTACCTAAATATATTTTCCTATTCCATAAAAAACCCTATTTTAACAATTAAACAAATAATTCCAGCTTCTGATTCCAATTTTCTTTACTCATCATATGTGAAGTTTTTCCTCATGTTAGACTTTTTAAAATTCCAATCTCTAAAATCCAAACTTAGATTAGTTGACAATTGAGTTTGCCACCTGATGAAATGTCTTACTGAACACAGTTGCAATTTTCTCAATTGAGATCCTTAGCAGAAAAAAAAAGTTACAGAATAAATCGAATCTTCACATTAATTTTCACCAACAAAAATTTAAAATAAATGCAGATTTTTCTTTAGTTGTCCCACTTTCCTAAAATGTAGCCCTGGGTTGTCTTAACTTTGCAATCCTCCACCCCCTGTTCCACTAATCAGTTCTCACCTTCCTTCCCTGCTGGAACACGTGAATTTTTCAGCAAAAGTGACTCACTCACTGGCATCATGTCAAACTAACCCTGAAACTACAAGGAGGCTCAGTGCTAACAGAATTCTTAAGCTAAGAACACTTTCACTAGCACACATCATCAGGTCCCTAGAACTGAATCACATTCAGAGCCAAGTACATGCTAACAAACTCATGTCTATCTTCCCTTACAAACTGTTCTCCATTATCCCACCCCCCTCCTAATTTTACACTGGCAATTCCCTAATCTAAAACACACCCCCCCATCAATGGAGAAAATAAGATAGCAAACCATAAGAATAGGAGAGAGGAGTTAAAAAGTCATTGTTCACTCAGCTTGGAAGAAGATTTAATTCATTAACTTATCTACTCCACACAATTCTCAAAGTTTCCCCTCAGTTAAAACAGAATACAGACACAACCATAAATGTCTAGGAATAAATTACTCACTGCTGTTATTGCACTAAATAAAAGCTTTTAAAAACCACACAAAATCAGTTATTGAGAACTATTTCATCAAAAATCCTCAATAAGATGTCACTCCTATGAACTATCAACTGTAAATCAATTTATCCTTTTGGTCCACACATTTACCTTTGCAGATTTTGGTTCATACATTTACTCCAAAATAGAAAGTGTTCTTTTTAGCCAGAGGGAAAGCGGTGTAGAAGGAACAACAAAAAATGCTTTATCCGATTTCCACAGACATTTACCTAGAGCTCTACCAACTGTCACGCTCCACCTGGTGGCAGGAGCTGCCTGGATTGATGAGGCACAGGTCACTCACTATACAAAATAATTCCAAACAATACTTTCCAGACATCCTGGGAAAAAAGCAAGATGCTCTTCTCTTGCCCTATCTGGAATAAGTCTGTCAAGTTTCCAGTCGAGTTTTTTCACATCACAGTAGGTCAATAACTACTAAAGATTAATATAAAAGTATAACAGTACTTAGAATGAGACCTACATTTAGAGATACACTTAACAACCGTTCTCTCCACAGTAAGTTAAACGTCACCTTGAGCTTTTAAAACAGGTAATGAGACACCTACAGCAGCTATAGGATTTTCTATCACACACTCCTACTAACTTTCTTTACCTCTTCCCCAATGGGTAAACTATAGAGTTTAATTAACACAGTTAACGGCAGCCTGCCACATTGCTTTTAGATATTTGCCAGTAACATAGACCCATGGGATACTCTAGGGACTGATTTCCACCAAAAATAAAAATAGATAAACAGAGCTCAAGTAAAATTAAAACCGGGTCTGGCTGCCCACACTTACTTTCACACATGAGGAAAAGAAAAATAGCAGTTCTTTTAGAAGCCTCAAGCAGACATATCTTTAGAACACAATGTTAAAAATATGCCCCCCACCCCATTCCCCTACCTGTTTCTCACTCAAAGCTGTGATTTTGGCTTGGAGTTCATGAAGCTGTTTCTTTAAGTCAGCATTCTGATTGGAAAGAAAAAATATCTGTGAGAAAGATATTCATTTGTTAACAGAATAGTAGCAAGAAGACTATGCATACTGTAATTACAAATGATGAAGCAACCTTAAGCACTTAGCCAATGAAATTTGCCATGCATTAAATCATAATCATAACATCACCCCCTAATGCATAAATCCTAAATGTGAGCTCCTAAACCCAGAATAGGGAGCAGCTTCTTTATAACTGTTTTACATTACAAGTTTTACATTTTAGCATCTTATACTATAACAGTACCTTACTACTCAAATATTGTTGTTCTTTATACAAAGAACAAGTTGACACAAAAGCTAAAGCTCCACTCATCAGGCAAAAACAGATAAATGGAGGCAATAAGTATACATACACGGCATGCTTAGCAGCATTATCAGCAAAGATAAGAGGTTTTTCCCTACTGTCCTCTTCCTTGTTTAGTAAAGTACATTTGTTATTTTAGCCTAGATTTGAAAAGCTGTCAGTACTGTAACTGCCTTAACACTACATCATTCAAATTAACACGCTGACTACCAGGGCATTTTCTCAGTTCTAAAATTTTAGGAATTAAAAAAAGAACACTATATTCTATGAGATATACTGAACTTGATTTTTATTCAAGTTGGAGAAATGCAAAATTAATATTTTCAGATGCTTACACAGCAAGAGAGCCTAATAGCAGACTGAACACCAATGAGAACCTACTTTGACTTGATCATTCCACACACAGTTGTTTGAAATTGATCCTGCCTGGTTTTCTCTCACGGTTCAGGCACACATCTTCCCCCTCTACTAAGTTTCAAGTTTACTTCGTTTGTACTTTTTAAAATGTGTTTATTGTAAGTCCTCTCTAATAAGGTCACCTATCATGCTTTCAAACAAGTCACTGCCCCTCACATTCACCAGGTTAAGACTGTTCTGCCACATGATCACGAGCTATATCACAAAAGCTAGCTTGTAACAGAACTTCAACTGCTGAAAATGTAGGTAAATATGAAAGCTAGTGCAAGCGTGTGATAGAGAAAGTAGGGTCTACTGCCTCTTGGTTCCTTAAACCCAATTTAAATGGGACATATGCCCAAAAAATAAAAGTAAAAGTTTCTCATGGAAGTTGAACAGGTCTAAATGTGGGCTATCAGTGCCAGCTCTCAGAATCCATGGACTGTGTTAAAACACGATAGAAAGATCACCAAATCCTAAATTTGTAGAAATGAATATTATTTTCCACTTCCAAAAATCAATGCCTCAGTACCAATGTTCAAGAATTTATTTTTTTATTTTACAAAAAGGCATGTACGACCAAATGTCTAATGGTTGCAAAAGAGACAATGCCTGAATAATAAATATAAAATCTTGGAAAACAAGATCACTTTTTGGATGAGTTTTCTTCAGAAACAGAGAATAAAATGCTTAAAGTAAAAAAGTCATATGAACATTTAAACAAAAGTTAACATGTCAAGGAATATTTTACTATATAAGGTATTTCTAAAACTCCTTTTAAGGATTCTTTCAAAAATAAAATTTACTAAAATTTTTTAAATTATTTAAATCAAATTTGTTAAAATTATTCTAAAATTCTTACCCTAAACATAGTAAACTTCAATACTCAAATGTTCTATATTATAACCTCCAAGTAAGCATAGTTTAGGGCTACTTTCAATAATTCTGAGACTAAAGAAAGTCTTATAATCTCTAATATTGAGTAAATAGGTTTATGAAAGAGAAATTTAAGTTATATGAAAAGTATTAACTCTCAAAATACTCAAATCAACTAACATAAAAGCCAAATAATAGTAGTGAAGATAAAATTATAGCTACATTATAATAGAATTACTGGATTTTTTTTTTCTAAACCCATAAAACATGAAGACCAATGTGCTAAAAATATTTGCTGTCAAGTATGAAGTAGTTCTTTAAATGTAAGTATCATCTACCCTTTAATATTTTATGGTCATTTTATTTTAATTTTTTAATTTAAAAATTAGATAATAAAAATAGTATTTTACCTGTGGATCCTGCTTCATTTGAGCAACAAGTTTCTGGCAATAAAGAGAGAAAAACAACCATCAGTCTTACATATCAACTTCCTATGGCTAATCAGATTGAGCCCCCCAAAATCTAGGGTTTTAAATTGACACAAAAAAATGAACACTACCACGATGAGAACAGACCAATAAGCTTCTGTGATCCACGTAAAAGGCTACTGAAGACTGATAACCACACAAACTCTCCGCCTCTGCAGGACATAAACCAACTTTTCTCTATATAAGCAATTAAACTGTACTTCAGGTGAGCAAAGGTAGGAAAGGATAAGCTAAGAAACTGACTGGACCAGTGCTGGCAAACCATGGCATGCATGCTGCATCGGGCACACAGAGCCCTCTCTGCCCCAGCATCTGAGCACTGGTTAACAGTTGCTTTTTCCAAACTAACTCTTCTTAATAGAAAAAAAAAATCAAACTGTCACTTTTTATATGAAATGAAAAAGTGCCTGATTTTTACATGTGGAGAAGGAATGGGATACAGTGGCTTCCAAAAGCCAATTTAAGCAAGCTGGATATTCCAAAAGCCAAATGGCCCTTTAAAATACTGTCACTGTCTAGAGTCCCAAGCCAGGCCTGCAAAGAATCTGCATCCATATAAAACCAGCCTGTCTCAATATAGCAAAGCACAAATTTGGCAAGTTTGTTGGTTTGGTTCTTTTTTTTTGTACCAGGGATCAAACTGGGGACCTTGAGCTTATGAGGCAGGCAGCAGCACCACTGAGCTAAATCCCCAGCCCCTGTTGGTTTAGTTCTTACAACAGAAGACACCAAGTGTCAGATGTAACTTTGCTACTGTTCTCTCTCAAAGTAGGAGGGGACACAGGATAGGATATATCTGGTGGCTAAGTGATACTCAGTATTTGAGAACCAGAAAGTGGAGCAACAGTGCAAAACTCTACCTACCTGGGATCCTCCAGGAAAGAGAATGCTACCCTAGTACCCACTGAGAAAGACCTTATCAACAATCAAAAAGCAAGAATCGATGCCGTCTGACCTAACTCAACTCGTAAATCCACTGCTGCCAAAAGGTAACAATAATCAAGGATAGAAGAATTTGCAGAATAAAGTAGTATCAGAAGGCTGATTCCTAAAAGTGACTAGAAATAAGCTGTTTTCCAAGTGAATTCTCATATAATGGAAAAATCTGTCACTCTGGATGACAAAATACTTTTGAATTGTTTAGTTACAAAATAAAATCTTTCTAAAATAGAATATACTTACCTACTTCATTAAACAGAAAGAAGTCAAGCTCTTACTGCTACTTAGAGATATAATATCAATTAATATACTGTAATATAAACAACAAGGTTCTTACAACAAAAGGCCCAAAATTGCTGTTCTTATGTCTTCATTTTAGCTTCATGGTCTACTCAATTTCAAGCAGTCAGCTACTGTTCCTCTCACTAACAGCCTTGAGCCCCAACTCAAATTCCTGCTTTGATCTACTATGTGATGCACTCACCACACTAATTTGAAGATGAGTGAACAGATGATGATGAATAACCTAAAAATCCCACTTGAGTAAAACAATATAATCTTTGGTGAATGACTGCTGACGTTTATTCTAACTGGACAAAACCTTTCCCCCGGTACTAAGATACACTGTGTGTAGCTGATGTTGCCAACCACAAGACCTCTCAACACATGAAGTCTAAGTCACTATATTCTACTTATACTTGACAGAGTTTTAATCAGTCTTCTGTATCCTGGTCAGAATCTACAAAGTAGTAATATACATTCCAAAAGCTCAACAGCATTGAAACACGGGGTTTTATATATACACATTTCTATAAATCTAGTCTCTTCAATTAAAAAGCCTCTGATTTTCCTTTTTGATGTGGTTACTAAAGAATTGGCTATTATATTAAAGTTACCTTTTTGAAGCCAAGAAAGCTTTTCTTCCACAACAGTGGAATTTAAAGACTGATAACCGCACAAACTCTCCGCCTCTGGAGGACATAAACCAACTTTTCTCTATATAAGCAATTAAACTGTACTTCAGGTGAGCAAAGGTAGGAAAGGATAAGCTAAGAAACTGACTGGACCAGTGCTGGCAAACCATGGCATGCATGCTGCATCGGGCACACAGAGCCCTCTCTGCCCCAGCAGCTGAGCACTGGATAACAGTTGCTTTTTCCAAACTAAAACCTCAGTATTCAGTTTAATTGCAGTGTTGGCATTATGCAATAAATAAGTGGGTTTTGCACACAGTTTGAGCACTTGGTCTCTAAAAGGTTCACCATCACAGGACTAGACCATCCAACAAATCCCTAGTGACTTTAAACTCACATGTTTATCAAAGCAAAGTCACTTTCTATTGCATAAATGCAGCCATTTTTCATGAGGATATAGTTTATACCAATGATAAGCAGCCAACCGGCCAAATCTGGCCCACCACCTGTTTTTGTAAATAAAGTTGTAGGGAAAACAGCCACACCCATTTATTTATATATTGTTCATGGCTGATTTGTCTGTACCTCAGGAGAGCAGAGTAGCTGTGACAGACTATAAATGACCTGGAAAGCCTAAAATATTTTACCATCTGGCCCTTCCTTTTCAGAAAGTTTTCTAACCTCTGTTTTATACTATGCTCCATTCCAAATGGAATAAATACTGTCAAAGTTTAGACCCCATCAAATTCACACACAATCAAAGAAAGAGAAGGGGAAAAGCAATTTTCTCTAAAAGATGACCTATATTTTAATTTTTACTGAATATCAACTAATTATGCATTGCAGCATCTCCCACTTAATATAAAGAAAACAGAAGAAACAAAAATATATTTTAACCACAGCAACACCAGCTAGTTCCAAATCACCACTTCTATCTAGTAAATCTGATTTCAGCCTAAATTTATTCCCTAACTGGAAATACAAACAAAGACTTTGTCTTTAATATTTAGTCAAAAGTATATTCTGGGTCAGGGGATTTGGCTCAGTGGTTTTGTCACCTGCCTCGCAAGCACAGGGGCCTGAGTTCAATCCCCAGTACCAAAAAAAAGGTATGTTCTAGCTTTGGTATCAGCCTAATCCAGTACTATTAATGTCATTTTTGGCATGATCATGTACCTCAGCCATTCAAGACCATACCAGTTTTAAGAAGGAAGCTTGTCACCTGGATTTAATGTTAATAGGTTTTTTTTCAAAAATATCAAAGCATTACAGATGTAACTGAAGTGAAGTATCTTATTATATTTTGTATGTTAAAATATTTTGGCATTTTTGACATCTACTAAATTTGCATAGAGCCCAGCATTAGCTTGGATGAGAACTTATAGGAAAGCTTCAAATATTTTAACACAGAAGTAAATGTTTTTTATTATTATACAAAGTATTGTATATGAATTAAAGATGAACACAAAGTCTATTAAGTTTATGCTAAATAAAAAAACAGCTAAAGGCTGGGGATTTAGCTCAATGATTCTGCCACCTGCCTCGCAATTGCAAGGTCCCCAGTTCAATCCCCAGTACCAAAAACAAAAACAAACCAAAAAAACCCAGCTAAATATACAGGGAAACAGACTGATAGTTAATATGAATATTAAGAGAGAGTTCAGGGTAAATTTTAAAAGAATACTATATCCCATCTGAGTCAATAAATGTAATTTTAAATTTTTAATTAGACCTAAAAACTGAAGTTTAAATTTTCTGAATTGTAATGTTTATGTAACTGGTATGCCTGAATTCAAAATATAAAACAAAATAATATTTAAGAACTGTATTTAATTTAGTAATTAAGTTTGATTAAGGTCATGAATCCTTTAAGAAAAGTTTATTTGGGGCATGTCTGTATCTTGAAAGGAGTAACTAAAAGCATAATGTTAACCTGGCAATCTCCAAAGTTTCTTGAGAAGGAAAAACTATAAAAATCATATACAACATAAAAAAACCATCACTCATCCGCACAAATTTCAGACTGATTACTGTATTTGCAAAATTCATTCTACGATGTCAGCCTTAAATAAATTGTGAATTTAACTTTTATTACTTGCCATTGAGATGAACTCAGTATTCAGCACACTTCTGTGTTAAAATACTTTCATCCAGGAAAAATAAGCTTGTTTTTATAAACAAATTTTTATTCCCTTCAATTAGTACTAAAGTTAGGCCATATAAAATAAAACATGTAAATATAAGTTAAATATAATAAAAGAAGCCTGCTTGTTTAAGATACATGCTTCTGAGGAAGAGTTTAACAAGGTCCAAAGCTGTAGTAGGGATTTCTGCACAGAGAGATTTCATGATTTCAAAATTATATTTTATATATAGATTGTGTGTGTGTGTGTGTGTGTGTGTGTGTGTGTGTGTGTGTGTATACATAAAATGTCTTTGAAGCTTTCCTGTAAGTTTTCATCCACGTTAAGTCCAGGCAATGTACAAATCTCATAGATGTCAAAAATCTAAGCTATCTTCTAAGAACTTCAGAAATTAATGTTAAATTACATTATTTAGATTTTTTTCAGCTTTGAGTTTACTGGTACATTGTAGGGATACAGTACCATTACATTCATTATTGGGATCTTGTACCTCTACATGACAGGTCTTGGCTCTCATTTTTAAAAAGAAACTATACGGGCCAGGGATTTAGCTTAGTGGTTCCAGCACCTGCCTCGCAAAAACAAGGTCCCAAGTTCGATTCCCAGTACCAAAAAAAAAAAAACTATACATAAGAACAAACAACTTTAAAAAGTAGCTCCCAGACCAGGGTGTAGATGATAGGTAAACCACTGGCCTCGCATGTGTAAATTCTTGATTTCAATCCACAGCATGGCCAGAAAAATACCAAGTAGTCTCCTTCTCTTGACTCCCATATCCCAAATTATTATTACACATTCAAAATTAAAATTAATCAGTTCATTATCATTTGAGTAACAAAGATTATGTATGTGTGTATTTGCATGTTTTAAGCCTAATAAACGCCCAGTCAATGTAAAAAACAGAAGAAAAGTGTTCACACAATAAATGTTAATAAATTAATTATTTATGAGGGCAGGGGATTTAGCTCAGTGGTTCCGCCCCCTGCCTTGCAAGCACAAGGTCCTGAGTTCAACCCCTGGTACCAAAAAAGAAAAAAAAAAAACCAAAAGTATTTATGGATAGCTTTTGTCTTGTTTATTATATATTCATATTATCAATATATGAAATTATTTAAGACAATTATTGCATGATAGAAACATACTACACAATTATAACAGTTTATTTACATATACATTTTTATAATTATGTATTTTTAAAGTTTATTTAGGCACAAGGTAAAAAGTTAAGAATCGTGAAACTTTAAAATGTGATCTCTGTGAAAGGAATCTTCATCAAAGACTGGAATCAAGGCATAAATTAAATCAAAAGATGAGTCAAGACTTTATTGTATTCGGTGATAGTTGAGCTAAACAAGTCTCGTTATTTAAAACATGAGAGTTCTACCACATGAAGACAGTCCTTCAAGTGAATACCCACCACCTCAGATAAGCAAAAAAAGAGGTGTTTTTTGTAATACCTCTGGGACTTGGTGGCACTAGGGATTAAACTCCAGGGCACTCTACCACTGATCTATATCCCCAGCCTTTCTCGTGTTTTGAGCCAGGCTCTCCTGGATGGCCCAGGCTGGAACTTGCCGCTGTGCAGTTGTCTACCACCACACCCAGCTCCTAATAATGTCCTTAAAAGTAGAATCAGTGCATTCTCTGAATACCAATCAAAGGCAAATGACATGATTTCTGGACAATTGTCTTAAAGACAATTTGAAAACTCTACCAAATGCAGAAATGGGCCTGTTTACTAATTTTAGTTATTTAATAACACAATGTGGGAGAATCCAATAATGCAACATACCTGATGAACCTGAATTTCCACTTTAAGAGCCTCCTGGAGAGTCTGCAACTCCATCCTCTACCTTCTCCACTTTCTCTTATGTCTGCTAATTCTATAGTTTCTTCAGCTTCCGTTTAAAATAACAAACTCTTCTTGCTGCAGCTGTAGAGATCATAAAATGTTTTGGACCGTTATATTGGGAATCAAGAAAATATTTGTGTTCAATAAAATGTTAGTCAAAAATATCTGATTTTTTTTTTTTTTTTTTTTTTTTTGGTAATACAGGAAGAAAAAAAATAACACCAGACTTTTTCCCAAAACAATTCAGCACCAAAACTTTTTGGGTTTCATTCTTTTGAGTACCTGGCTGGAGAACACTTCAAATAACTAAGAAAAGAACAACAGTAACAAAAAAGTCATGGTCATGAAAACATCTAGGCACCCACTGCCTGCTCAGCACTGTGCTACATACTACAAAGAATCTACCTGGGGTAGTCTAATAATGAAACAGGTTTCCTGCTTTACAATGGACATCATTATCTTCCCAAACCTGCTTGCCAGTGCGTCTGCAGCTACGTATAACTGCATGTGGAAATATTGTCAAAGTCTAATTTGTGACAATAAATGCCCATACCCAACCTGAACCTCCTATCCTCCATTCATCAGTACCACACTTTAAATTAAAGTGCTAATTTCTCCTTTAATTTTTTTCTTATTTTAAATGTGAACTTACACTGATTTTAAATTCTCTACCAAAGCAAAAGCCTTTTATTGCCTGAATAAATTTGAAGTTTACCTCAAATCTCTTTTCTTCCCTGCACTTGTAAAACTTGCTGCAAGAGCAACTTTTCAGTATTAAGGAAAGAAACAACCACAAAGCCAGAAAGAAGAACCACTGTGTTATACCAAAACAATGAGAGTCAGAATGGTCTCATTTTCTAAAAATTTACTTCTAGATAAAGTACACATTTACTTAAATTTTCAAAGTCCTCTGAAAACTGTTTTAGCAGAGTTATAATGGAATCATTAACTACAGAATAAATTCTGATGAATATTAGTTTTCATTATATTTGCTTAAAACATGAGTGACAATCTCTCCTCTAGGGCTTATATTTTACATTACATAATATCAAAATATTCTAGCCCAAAAAAGAATAAAGTCCCAAAGTGCGAAATTCCTTCAAAGTTAGTTTGTGGAAGCTAGGAAAGATTTATTGTATATGATATTATTAACCAAAAAATTTCATAAAGACAGTATATTTAAGAGAATTGGGTGGGGGATTTAGCTCAGTGGTTCCAGTGCCTGCCTCTCGAGTGCAAGGGCCAGAGTTCGATCCCCAGTACCAAAAAAAAAAGAATTTGGAGCCGGGCGTGGTGGCACACATATGTAATCCCAGCACTCAGGAGGCTGAGGCAGGAGGATCGCTACGAGTTCAAGATCAGCCTGGGCTACATAGTGAGTTCCAGGTCAGCCTCAACTACATAGTGAGACCCTGTCTCAAAAATAAATGAATTTTTAAAAACAACAACAACAACAAAAAAAGAATTTGGAGATAGAAACATATTCTGATGAACAAACCTGGGTATTTTAGCTATTTAATTATATTTTTGAAATCTTTGGAACTGTAACAAATAACAGACTCGTTAAGTGACTGACTTATACCAGATTTTGTTGTCATACAGGCTCACTCTATTGCAATTGCTAATGTTAAAATTATACATTTAATTCAATCATATTTAATTATTCCCTTTAATTTTAAACACTAAAGTAATGTCCCTACACAAATTCTTAACATATAATACAGTTTCTTTTGAAAACAGAAGAGGTTTTAATTTCTGCAAGAGTCCACCAGAAAATGTGTCCAAAAATGATTACTTATAATTTATGTTAAATTAGGAATTCACCTGAGGGAATATTTTCAAAAACAAAAAGGTTTTTTTATTTCTTGGTTTTTTGAGTCAGAGTCTCCCTTTGTAGTTCAGGCTGGCCCTGAACTCACTATGTAGCCCAGGCTGTCCTTGAACTCACATCAATCCTCCTGCCTCAGCCTCCCAAGTGCTGGGATTACATGCTGAGATTACAGGTACGTGCCACCATGCCCGGCAGGCATATTTTATTCTTCTGGTGTCACCAGAGCTCAAATGAACCCACAAAAACTAAGAAAACAAATAGCAGGTTAAAAACATGGAGAACCACTGGGTATGTAGCTCAGTGGCACTGCACCTGCCCAGCAGGCACAAGGTCCTGAGTTCGATCCCCAGTACTTAAAAAAAAAAAATGGAGAACATACAATATACCTGACAAAGAGTTCTTTTTTGTTGTTGTTGTTGTTGTTTTGTTTGTTTGTTTGTTTTGAGACAGGGTCTCACTATGTAGTTGAGACTGACCTGGAACTCACTATGTATCCCAGGCTGGTCTCGAACTCACAACAATCCTGCCTCAGCCCCTCAAGTGCTGGGATTACAGGCGTGGGCCACCAGGCCCAGTGAGTTCATATTATTTATATAGTTGGGTCTTTCAGAAATTATTAACTTTTCTGTAATAAGAATGACCATCAAACACAAAAAACATCCATCTTCAATAGTAATGGAAATATAAATTTTAAGAAGGTAAGTTTTATCTATCAAACTGAAGACCTATAAAAATAGTAACACTGTGAATTGTCTAGAAATTGTTTTCAGTAACACTTTGGAATTTGTCAGTTGTTATCAGTGGATGATAGGACTGGGGATTATTTACAGTATTTTCTTCTTAGGGGGGTACTGATATTGCCAAAATTTTCTGTAAAAGCAACTGTTTCTTTTTAAATTAAAAAAAAAAGTGAGGATGGACAGATAGAGCATCATAAAATTTTGAACTAATCAAACAAAATGCTCAGGAAAAGAAAACGTAGAAGCAGGATTTAACCTGGACTCTAAATGTCAAAGAGCGCCTTGCACGTTAATAAGCCTGCAACTCAAGTTAATGAGGAGCTGACAGTTTTTACTTCCTCCATCAGACTGTTGTCTGCTTATTAGAGACATACAAAGGCATGAAGTTTTATTTGGCAAAGACTCTAAATGCCAATTATCCATTTTATTTCAAAATAAAACCGAAGGGTTAAAAAAGGTAGTGACTATTTATAGAAAAACTTATTAAGGATTAGAACATTCATTCAAAATCCTTCTGTTCTGGTGTTTGTTTGGCTGTTTTATGGTACGAGGGGTTGAGCCTAAGGTTCTGTGCGTGTTTGGTAAAACACGACCACTGAACTTCACTGCTAACCCCAAAAATTCTATTTCTCGATGGTGACTGTTAAGAGACTAGTTTCTGCCTAAAGGAACAAATTATAAACATGTATTTATAGTTTACAAAGGTAAGGCAAGAACATATTGACTATTTTAAGAAACATTTTGGGATCTTAGATAACTCACGAAGCCATCATCTGAATACTATCTCGGGCAATTTATACCATCCAAAGCAGCACATTTCCAAATTTGTGAAAAGGACAGATTATATTTTGATCAATTTTAACAAGTTGTAACTAACTGTAAGGAGAACTTAGAAAACAATCATAGACACACTTTATTGAAGTATTAAAACCATGTACCACTCAGTAGCTCTGCATACCACCATCAAAGTGGACATTGCCTAGCCTAACAGGCCAGTGTTTATACTCTTCCCAACTGTACATATTAAACCACAGGGCCTCACACCTCTAAATAACAAAACACAAAGCATAAAACCTCTACACACAAACAAGGGAACAAACAGCCCCATAACCCAAACAAAAGCAATAATCAAATCCCATTAAAAAGCTGAGTATGATGGTGAACACTCTGGGAGGCTAAGGCAGGACGATTACAAATTCCAGCTCAGCCTGGGTAATTTAGCAACTTATGACCCTCTCTTGATAAATAAAGAAATAAAGTGGAGAGGAGAAGGCTGGCAGGCAGGTGATATAGCTCCATGTGAATGAAGGCAGTGGGTTCAATCCCCAATGCACCCCCCTGCAAAACCCTCACTAAAAAATGCAGTTGCGCTATCTGCACTTGATCTTAGCCAAAAGGCTAAGAAGCAATGGCAGTTATGATAACTATAAAGAACATTTATTGTCCCCCAAAATGCAAACAAATAAAGCCTACTTCATACTTCACTTAGTCACAGTGTGACTATCGTACTACTCTCACCCTCAGCGTGAGTTTGTTACGGGGGGGGGGGGAATCACCTGTTT